CAAGGCATGAGATAGGGAGGTGATGGGAATGAAGACAGAGATGTAGAGAATATAGTAAGGGAAAGAAAAAAATCAATGTGATTAAGCTAAGGAGTTTCTTTATTTCTTAGGAAGTTAAGTGACTATTCTGTTATTTTCAGGAGCCAATTATAATTCTCCAGCCCACACTCTTGGGGTGATTTTGGCCCCATTCACCCTGGTAACTGCAACTGGGAGTGTTAATGTGGCAGTTAAAGATCACCAAGTGCTTGCAGCAAGTTCTCTCTGCCTGTCTCACAAAACAGCAACCAAAATAGCCTTGTCAGTTTAAATAGTCAGAGCTTGGTGGCAAAAACGTGTGTGCTTCAGCTGACTGAACTGAATTATAAGCCTCTGGCTAGCATTTGGAATCATAGATTAAATAAATTATTGTTAGCATTGCAAGTACTCTGTAATTATTTACTTGGATAAACTGGAATCTGCCAAATCTTCTTGATAATTCTGAATTTATATACAGGTAATTATGCAAATACACTTCCAGATGTGTCTGTCATCGGTTAACTTTTTTTAAAATTTGGATTTTTCTGCTTAAAATTGTCACCTGAAACTATTCTCAGGAGGTTTTTACGTCTTTTGGGCCAGACTTTCTTACGTGCCTTTGCTGGGTGTCGGGGTAAGACTTTAGAAGTTGGCATATAAAGTGGGGGTATTTTTAATTCTTTTCTTTGTGAAAGTAGGGCAATCTTAGAAGCAACAGATCCAATAAAACAGTGCCACTTATGTGCCACATAGAATACTACTGGCTGGAAACACACTAAAAATGGGAATTTCACTGACAGGACTTAAAGAAGCCATATTTTATTCCAGGCCTTTTGCTGATGAGAATTATGGATATTTTAAAGATAGACCCCTTGCTAGCCAAAAACTGTGAGGAAAGGCGTATGTAAAAGTGCTAAATAAAAACTTTGAGAGAAGAGTGTTTCAGCAGGAAAAGTGACTGAAAATAAAATGATACCCAGTAGAAATCATACAGAAAATTCAGGACTCTGTGGCAAATGCTTGGGGTTTTTTGCAAGCACCCAGGCACAACTAGTGAAGTAATGGTTATGGAATACCACCAGTTACAGGGTATTACTCAGGGTCTGGCACTGTGTACTCTGAGAAAGTGAGATGGCCTTGGATCGTGTCCCCAGGGCTTCACTTTTCCTGGAGGGCTGAGCACAAGTCACCCAGAGGAGCTGTGCCAGGGCAGCTGGGTCTGTTCCCATGAGCAGCAGGAGCTGTGCTGGAACCAGAGAGGGGGAGAGCACAGGGGTCACGTAGCTGCTCTGTCTCCTTTGATCTTAATAGGCCCAGCTATTCTGTGAAGTTGGAAGGAATTAACTGATAATTCAGGTTAATCACTTGAGACACACAACATGTATCTTCACATGGTGTATAATTCTGTTTGCTGGTAATTAATGCTGTATTTTCATGTGTACATTACTGGGCACCTGCTGATTTCAGTGGGGGTGCATGTGAGTCCACAGACTTCAAATGCTGATCTTTTAATTTCTTTGAAGGATTTTAAGATCATCACCTTCTCACCTGCCCTCTGTTTCCACTTCTGTGTGACCATGCCTCTAACACATACATGAACTGTAATTTATCTCTATTTAAAAGAGTTTTTCATGTCTTGCTTTTCTGTGCTTATTTTGTATTGTTCTAGATTCTACTGCTCTAGGATTTGTTTTAGTTAAATGAGCGCTTCAGATGCATATTGTAGATGTGGTATTTTTACTATTCCTTATGTACTGAAATAGACACTGGAAATGTTGTAATTTTGATGGATTTTACATAGAACCAGACCTGGGGTCTGTCTGTGTTGTAGATAAAGCCCAGTCCAGCCTGCATGGAGGTGGTGGGTGCAGTGCCCGTGGCTGTGGCAGCAGCAGTGTCCCTATTGTGTCACCCTGTGGGCAGAGGCTCTGTCACATCCCCTGGGCAGAGCTGCTGCCCAGGGCACTGCAGTAACCAGCAAATTCTGCTGAGCCCAGAGCACTGGGTCATCCTGGGGCTTAGGGACCCCACTCAACTGCATCCTAATTATCTGCTTATCCCGGGATTCTGATGGAGCCACTGAACCACCCATTTCTGAATCAACCCCAAAACTTTCCTTTTGTTTGGCTGCCCAGCAACTGTGGTGTGTGTCCTGTGCTCTCATGGGAGAATCTGTTCTGGCACCAAGAAGAAAAGGAACACTGATTTCCTATTTTGTGTGGAATTGAGCACGCAGCTCTCTGAAAAGGGACTACTTTTTTTTTCTGTTTCATTTCATCCTTGTGTGATTTTCATTTCCCTTACTTCATATGCTTTTCTCTCAAGATGCCTTTCTTTGTCATTCACTATTGTGACATATCCAGTTACTTTTTTTCTATCTCATTCTTTTTTTACTCTTTCTCTGTCTATTTTGCCATTTTTCCTCTTGCTTTTGAGAAACTCAGAGTTCACTTCTAGTGCACTCTCCTGGCCTGAGTACCTTTTGTCATCTGGAAAATGTAAAACATGAAGTTCAGTCCTGTTTTTCCAGTTATATATTCCTGGGGTAATACTGCTTGTGCTTGGAGTTCCTTTGTGCTGTATTAGGTGCAGAGAGCATTTCATGGTCCAAGTGACAAGCACAGACTTTGCAGGGGGTGCAGTGATAACTAAGCATGTAAAACCTAACACCTAACCTTTGAATTTTCAGGTTAAAAAGCAGAATTTGGGGGGTCAAATTAACTATGTGATTCTACCTCCTCAGTGTTTGTTCAAGGTCAATTGCCACATCATAAATAACATTTATATTTTTTTACATCAAATCAATATTTTTAATGAATTCCTGGTTTTGCTCCTGTCTTACCATGGAATTTTTCCTACTTGATTAGGAATAATGGGAATATTTTGAACAGCCCAAAGACTGGATTAGCAGCAGAGAAGTTTG